AATGCCTGACAGAATAGTCTAGTGGATCAACAATCATGCCACAAATGACTGTAAATTCAATTATTAATTCAATCAGAGCTAGTTATCATTTAATGCGACACCCCTTGGGAGGAGGGAGGAGTTCACTATTTTAATACATGTGTAATTGAAAAACAATCAGTTTTTCACTCAACAAACAATTAATAATATTTTTACTACAGTGAATTCATTGGCCTATTATTATATGCACAAAGCAAGATGTATTATCTTTGTGTGAATACATTAACAGCTGCTGATATTCAATATTTGTATTCACAGGCGCATGTAGATTATTCTGTTGTGCTTATGAAGGCTTACATCTATTGAAGGTGTTGACAGAAACAGAAAGTGCAACTAAAGCACTAGCATCAAATTGTCAGTTATCCAGTGATGGAGACTACATAGCCATAACTCTTGAAAGTAAGTATGAGTAATGATACTATGTGTATTGTACTATGTGTACATACGTTGAAGTACGTGCCACTTTGAGACATGTAGTCTTCATATTTAAAGGTAACAGAAAAATTGACATACCCTGGTAATTCATCGTTGCAGTAGTAATTCAAAGCTTCAAACAAAATTTTAAAATGATGTACTGTCCAATTGTGCTGTCCATAAAAATTGTCTGTAATTTTTATAATTGAATACATGTATATATGCTAGATATGTTCTGCTTTTATAATTAGAGAGCATTTTGCACTGACAAAAATTTGTACAGGTCACTGTGACATCCTAACTGGCAAAATTAATGAAAAGTTGACAAGTTCACTACTCCCATGTCCAGCATAGCAATTGTTGTTGTTTTTTGCAGTTTGCTACATAATTTATCTAACACATTTGGTCCCATTCAATTTTACCTAAACTGGGATTATTCCATTTACTGAATAGATGGGTCAGACTGTTGGGTTGAGATTTTTAGACTACCACGTGATAACTGGATAAGGGAGTTTGAAGCAGCACATGCTACGTTATTAAAACAACAACATCCACCAAAACCACCATCACCAGTTGAAAAAGAGAAGGTAAATAAATTTGTTTTTAATAGTGATTCCTTGACAACTATTTATTTCAGAATTTGTTTTACTTCAAATACAATCCTGTTGAATTTCAGTGATTTGTCTGTCATTTTATCAAATTGCTGATTATGGTATTAATTTTCATTAATTTTCATATGTAAATTGGCTCTGTACACAGTGCAATATTAAAGATACACTTTCACACAATGAGTCACTGATGTGCATAGTGCATCATATAAATATTAATATTAAACATTTTTATCATAGGAAACTGAAACTGACATGGACACAAGTCACCCCTCTGATGGAGCTTCAAATTTAGATGCTGCTGCTGGCAACCAGAGTCAGGTAATAGTTTTAAACTGAATTTAGAACTAACTACTAAAACTGATTCAGGATTAATTAAGAATGATATGTGTCCAACAGTTTGGATGTTTGTGTGTTTAGTTTCCAAAAAATAAATATTTAGTAATCAGGTTTTAAGGAAACAATTGTGTTTGGAACTACATGTAGTGTGTTAGTGTTGAGATTCACCAATGTGAATGACTGAATGACTTGTGTTAGTTAATGGATTACATTGAACGATATCAGGGTAACTGGATCCAACCATTTGAGTACAGGTCTTGATATGCATTTTATTTCTCTTGTAAACATAGCTGACACAGTGAAGCTTTCCGTCCTTCAATGTTTTTTTTGAAATGTACATTTTTTATGTTGCTTTCATTTTTGTTCATTTCATGACATAAACTATTGTTTATATGATTATTTTGTTTCTAATTCAAGTCATAAACTTGTTCTTGTACAAAATGTACCAAGGATTTTAAATGTAATGGAAAAATGATTTATAAAGCCCAGTGACAGTCTTTTGAATTACAAAAATTGTCATGATAGCGAGTCATGATCACACATTTATCACAGTCTCTTGCCTCTCCTAAGCCTCAATCACCAAGAAATACTTCACCAGTGCCTGCAGTGACATCAACCACAACACAGAGTATATCAACACAACAAATCAATGTAGCTAACCTATCAAAGCCAACACTTATACTCAGAATTAAGCCTCCTGCACCATTAGTCGGTAAGTACTTTTACAAAAGTACCGTATTTATCTTAAACATTGCCCATCGACCACCCATTGGCAATGATTCAGCACATGGACGATCTTTTGGCATTGTAAAAAATAACTTGGTGGTAAAAATAAATGTTTTTTTTCAAGAAGAAAAATAGGATACAGATCGACTTCATCAGGTTTAACAGCATCGCTCAAATGGAGTTTTGTAGAAAGTACGCAAACGCAAAGCTGTGACTTCTAAGTTACCCCAAAAATATATAATGCTAATATTTCAATCATCTCTATAGAATACTATAATCTCACCTTTTCCAGGATTTTCTGTGATTAATGGTAGTTTGATGTTTTTTTGTATCTGTATCTCCTTCACACCTAATACTTATTATTCTCAGGGAACCCAGCGACTTCTGCACACAGTGCTTTCAAGACTATTGATGATGGTTCTGTGATTGGCTCAGGAAGTAATCATGCCATCCTGACTCAGCATTTAGAATTACGAAAAGCTACTTTTAATTTACACCATGAAAAAGATCTGCAATACTGCAAAGAAGATGAAACAGATGGCTTACCAAGGTATTCCTGTCTTCATTAAAACATTGCTATTTGTCTCATCTGTAGTATTCGTTGCATGCAGTTCTTATTTGTCATCCTAACTTTGTCTGATGAGAAAGAAAATTATAATGTGTTTTACTGAATGAAGTAGAGTGTTTAATTAACAACATATATTGTTAATTTTGGTTATAAATGTGTTAAAACACTCATGTTACAAATGTCAATACTTGAACCTTTCAGAAAAACCAGGAGGCATTTTGAGATAAATCTACCAATAAAAAAGTGTAATTACCGGTACTTCAATTTAAACAGCTTCAACCTTTTCACCACCTAACTTTCTTGCCCAAATTTTTCTATACTTTTTTTTTCTTATTTTTTTTAATATTTCTGGAAATGAACCCTAATTTTGGAGCCAACAGACAAAGTTTGAATCAATTTTCAGTTTTTACTCAAAAAAAAATTTGGTTATTTTTGTCCCAATCTTCTTAGAGTGCAGACTATAAACCGGACTATTTTGGGAATTTGTGATGGAAACTGGGAACTGGTGGTGAAAGGTTAAGGGTGTGACAGACACTATTTTATAAGTAGGTTGTTTAGAATATTGATAATACATTTTTGTGATAATCTTTAGTTTAATGAAATTCAATTGTGGGTTCATTTATTTTCTAGGCAACATCCGAATGTTGTGTTTTTGAATGCTGGTCGATTGTTACCTGCTGGTTTGGAGTCTGCAGCAACTGCTGGCAGACCAAACAGTGTAGCTGCTTACTGGAGTGGTTCATCTAATATATATCACTATAATCTACTCAAAACAGCTAAAGGTATAAGGTTTACATTGTATTCACTCATATTCACTCACCGTTTGGTTGATATATAGTGTATAGATTTGACAAACTGTCCAATCAACTCAGAGTTGTGGCTTATTCGAATATCTTGTTTTGATTTATTTCATCTATTTTATCTACTATATCATTTCATATATTATGGAAAAACTCAATATGACTAAAATGAAATTACTCTAATATCAATATCAGTGGAGACTTCATACTGGAGGTACTATGATTATTAAAATAAAGTGATTCAGTGTAACTACTGTACTCTTCCGTCGCAGTGTTATGATTAAATTTTTCATGCCAATTGTCATCAGTTTTCTTAAATCCACTGTGATGTTACCTGCAAAGAGTGTGTGTACAACAGAAAGGTGGTTGGTGCTGACCAGCATTATACAGATTGTATAAAAAACATTGATTTCTAGGAGCACAATCCAATTAGATCATTTGTGGTGTCCTAGTTCAATTTCCCTAAACCTTCCTCCTGTTTGATTTATTGAGTGTACAAGCATGACCAGTTCCACATCAGTCAACCAGCACTTTAGTCATAATCCTAATTAGGTCTTGCCTAACTCCTCTCCAAAACTTACCTGCTTTCACATCTTTCCTAACATTATCTCACCTAACTCTTTCCTTGCCTGACTCCTCTCCACATCATATTTATTTTGTTTCATACTGAAATAAAAATTCATCATCATGCATCCTATTGTGATTAATTTTTATTTTTCACATGACTACACCCATTTGTGGTGTTTTTTCTTCTTTTTTCATTTTAATGATTTCCTTATAGCACCTACTGACAAGCGTTCTGGTAGCATTGGTAAGTGTGATTGAAAGTATACTTACAAGCAGAAAAAATCTACACTCTTCTAACACTGTATACTGTCTATCAACCTCATCCATAATACTATAAACATAAATATGATTCTGGTTTTGTGATAAATATTAACATACACTAAAGATAACCCAGAATTGTATGTATTTCAGACTCCAAAACATACATGCAGTGACATTTATTTGATAGACATTGTATTCACTTCATTCTTGTCACCACATGCATTAGTTGATGGCTACTCAACTTGATTGCTTACCTCTAGTGTTTGCTGTCACTCAATGCTGAAAATCCATTCTCAAGTGCTGGTCTAGCATTCAAATGATTAAAATTTACAAACTATTTTATGATTGTTTGCTCTCTATTTACATTCAGTCAGACTCAGTGGGACTCATTCCATTGGGGGTTTGCATATTACACATTGAAACCTGATTAAATGATTTTGTTATTAGACATTTATCATTAATCCAGCTGGCATTGATTGATTTATATCCATAATGATAATGAGTTAATCTTGAAATATGATCCCATTTGTCAAACCTAATCCATGTTTAGTATTTAGTGTAGGAGTCTGTTTGTATATCATTATATTTCATCCATAGTGACAGGATAAATATGAGCTGTTAGTGATTTCTATATGTAATTTTTTCCTTTTGGTATAATATTGATTAAATGTAGTGCTTATACCAATTTGTTAACATCATGATTCAATCTGTGTAACATGCTTTTATGTGGGAAATAAGTAATTTGCACTTTGAGAATGCTGTCAATTATGATATTCACTCAGATCATTGAATTTTATTTTTCTCCATAGATTATTAGTCTGTATAGCTGAATCTGTGTACTGTAAAGGGGGTAATTATTCACTGGGTTTTAATTTAGCTTATTTCGCTGACTGGAAAAATGCGCTAAATTAAAACACAGTGAATATGTAAAATTTAGCATAGAACACATTATCTAAATGACGAAACCGTGAATTTAAAACCCACTGAATATGCCTGAAATGATAAATCAGTGAAATTTAAACCCAGTGAATATTAGTCATTTTACAGTAATTTCATTACCTACTACTATACAGTACTTTAATTTCACTTGTGATTCGTTTGTGTAATTTTCGATTAGGGTATGAATCAGTGAAAATGAAATTCAGAGGAAATACCTTTTTTTCTATATTTTACATTCAATTCATCAAAAATCAGTGATATAGACTTTATAAAACAGCCAAAATGTCTTTTCAGCGAAAATAAAGTATTTTACAGTAGTCGATTTCTTGAGTACAAAATATTTGCTAGGTTTAATTTTAGTGGATTTGATGTTCACTAGGTTTTAAACTTCACTGGTTTGTGAAAGAAACAAAACATTCTATTGTTAAGTTTAGATATTCACTGGGTTTTAATTTTGCACACTTTATACATATCAGCAAAATAAGCTAAAACAAACCCAGGTAATAATAAGCCCTTTACAGTTACCCAAATCACCTCTACATGTATCTGTGCTCATTATACACACTACCGGTAATCAGCATTTGTGATGACTCATTGAAGTGAATCACCAAATCAATAAATATGTAAAATTAATTGATAATTTGTATAATTTTCAACAGATTTGCTAGCTTGTTTGATATTTATACCAAATACTTACATTAAATAATTTGTCTCCTTTCTAGATATTGAGCATAAACCTGACATGCTATGGCCTAATGCAAGTGCTATAAC